TCCCACCTGTCCATAAGACAAGGCTCACCTGTGGAAGACAGTACCCCGGTAGAATGCTACAAAGTGAACACACATACATTCAACTCTCACACGCCCGTCACATACACATCAGTGATACATTACACCTCAAAAATAATCACCGCAGCCCATACAAACTACACACTCGATAATAGCAGTGTAGGTAATGTACGAAAGCTCAATCTGTAAAATGCTAACTTCAACACTCGTTACATACTCGGGTTATTTTAAGACAGTTCTTTAGTTTATGCAAAATAACTTTTCTATACCACAAAACATGTATATTTGTTTTATGGCATTATAAAATCTACCCTCACCACTCTTCATTACCACCTCACAAATCCTGTCAAAACGCTGTGGAAAGCTCTATAAACCACGAGATACAATGTCTCCAAGGTACAGATGATACAATGAAACACGAAGTACAATCTCGCTGAGGTACAGATGAGACAATGAACCACGAGGTACAGATGATACAATAAACCACGAGGTACAGATGATACAATGAAACACGAGGTACAATCTCGCTGAGGTACAGATGAGACAATGAACCACGAGGTACAGATGATACAATAAACCACGAGGTACAGATGATACAATGAAACACGAGGTACAATCTCGCTGAGGTACAGATGAGACAATGAACCACGAGGTACAGATGATACAATAAACCACGAGGTACAGATGATACAATGAAACACGAGGTACAATCCCGCCGAGGTACAGATGATACAATGAGCACAGAGATACAGTACAATCCCGCCGAGGTACAGATGATACAATGAACCACGACGTACAATCACGCCGACGTACAGATGATACAATGAACCACGAGGTACAATCACGTACCTTTACATTGATATTACATAACGTCATTTATTACCTACGAGGGCGAAAATATCGGGGTTCATATTTTTCATACGATGCCTTAGGGCAAAATATCACTTTGTCATGGTGACGTGACGTCATGAACAATGCTATGACGTCACGTTTCTTCTGTGACGTTGCGTTCTACATGCGGCGACTACGGGTAGCCAGCCTATGATTGAAAGTAGATTTGGATTTATTTTTCTCAATGTGACGACTTCGGTAATAAAGAGAATATCATATTCGTGCCCACATCATACTATGTTTACGACACTCGTACCTAAATATCGGTATATCCCTCGCTCTCGCTCGGGAAACACCAACATTTAGGCACTCGTGTCGTAAACAAAGTATGACATGGGCACTCATATAATATCCTATGTACAATTATATGGGTATTATATGACGTCATACGTACCGTTATATGGCGTATGACATGAGGTCATGTGTACCGTTATATGGGATATTGCATGACGTCATATGTACCGTTATATGAGGTATTACTTGACGTCATATGTACCGTTACATGGGGTATTGCATGACGTCATATGTACCGTTATATTGGGTATTGCCTGATGCATACAGAAATTTGTTTATATACAATAAGAGTGGAGTTGTGTATAATGTATTGTACATATAGCAGATCGATAATACCATATATGGTGCAGATAAGAGTACAATACAATAGCTAAAGTACTAAGTGACCGATCACAATTTATGGCAAGGGCGTGATAATGTTTGTGGAGAATCATGTACTAAAATTTATGTACAAATTAAGTAACACCTCCCAACACATACTCCTATTTTTTAGGTACAAAATCGCCGATCCCCCTAGTACATGTGTACAGAATTGATGATTGTGACGTAAGTTCTAACATGTTTCTAAATTTGTTGACAATATGCAAGTTTATGTTATTTTTACCTGTAAAATGGTATTTTGGATGATGATTAGCGGACCAAATTAAAAAGCCTAGTTGGGAAAAACATAGCTATTTTAAGGTTTGTCAAAACTACCTATTTTAATGAAGCAATAAAGAAATAAACGCCAAAAACCAGTCTCCTATTTCCGTGAGTACTTTAGTGGAGATATGGTTTCGCCAGCCGTGGCTGTGTTTGGCTACAAGGCTACAGGCTACAGGCTACAGGCTACAGGCTACAGGCTACAGGCTACAAGGCTACAGGAGAGGAGAGTGATGGCTCTGCGGCGTGTGACCACACTTGAATGTCATGTGACAAAGTGATGTAATGTATATTGTGATGCGTCCCATGTGATCACGGTCACGTCGTATTGCCCCGTTCTGGCTCATGTTTCACGACAGGTGACGTTTCGAGTTCATTGTTAGAAATGTGTCATAATGTACAAGTGCTAATCATGTTTATTTGTTGATCACTTTAGTATCTGATTACCCATATGTTTAGGGCGGGCGCGGTATAAATCTACAATTACTGTTAATGTTATAGTGTGGGTAATATAATATACTGGGTGAGAGCTACTCGCATCCGTGGCAAGACAGGTGCGTGTCGTGGGAGAACAAAGGCTGTACATGGCTGAAAGCGTGTCACTGTGACCCGATGTCATTGGCTGGTGTTCTCGCTATCCATCACTAGTGCGCCTGGCACAGACTCAAGGCATGAAGTAAGGTCAGTCACGACACCTGCAGCATATTGCACGTGGGGCATGAAGTAAGGTCAGTCACTACACCTGCAGCATATTGCACGTCGGGCATAAAGTAAGGTCAGTCACTACACCTGCAGCATATTGCACGTGGGGCATGAAGTAAGGTCAGTCACGACACCTGCAGCATATTGCACGTGGGGCATGAAGTGAGGTCAGTCACTACACCTGCAGCATATTGCACGTGGGGCATGAAGTGAGGTCAGTCACTACACCTGCAGCATATTGCACGTGGGGCATGAAGTGAGGTCAGTCACTACACCTGCAGCATATTGCACGTGGGGCATGAAGTGAGGAGGTCACTACACCTGCAGCATATTGCACGTGGGGCATGAAGTGAGGTCAGTCACTACACCTGCAGCATATTGCACGTGGGGCATGAAGTGAGGTCAGTCACTACACCTGCAGCATATTGCACGTGGGGCATGAAGTGAGGTCAGTCACTACACCTGCAGCATATTGCGTGGGGCATGAAGTGAGGTCAGTCACTACACCTGCAGCATATTGCACGTGGGGCATGAAGTGAGGTCAGTCACTACACCTGCAGCATATTGCACGTGGGGCATGAAGTGAGGTCAGTCACTACACCTGCAGCATATTGCACGTGGGGCATGAAGTGAGGTCAGTCACTACACCTGCAGCATATTGCACGTGGGGCATGAAGTGAGGTCAGTCACTACACCTGCAGCATATTGCACGGGGCATGAAGTGAGGTCAGTCACTACACCTGCAGCATATTGCACGTGGGGCATGAAGTGAGGTCAGTCACTACACCTGCAGCATATTGCGTGGGGCATGAAGTGAGGTCAGTCACTACACCTGCAGCATATTGCACGTGGGGCATGAAGTGAGGTCAGTCACTACACCTGCAGCATATTGCACGTGGGGCATGAAGTGAGGTCAGTCACTATACCTGCAGCATATTGCACGTGGGGCATGAAGTGAGGTCAGTCACTACACCTGCAGCATATTGCACGTGGGGCATGAAGTGAGGTCAGTCACTACACCTGCAGCATATTGCACGTGGGGCATGAAGTGAGGTCAGTCACGACACCTGCAGCATATTGCACGTGGGGCATGAAGTGAGGTCAGTCACTACACCTGCAGCATATTGCACGTGGGGCATGAAGTGAGGTCAGTCACTACACCTGCAGCATATTGCACGTGGGGCATGAAGTGAGGTCAGTCACTACACCTGCAGCATATTGCACGTGGGGCATGAAGTGAGGTCAGTCACTATACCTGCAGCATATTGCACGTGGGGCATGAAGTGAGGTCAGTCACTACACCTGCAGCATATTGCACGTGGGGCATGAAGTGAGGTCAGTTACTACACCTGCAGCATATTGCACGTGGGGCATGAAGTGAGGTCAGTGACTACACCTGCAGCATATTGCACGTGGGGCATGAAGTGAGGTCAGTGACTACACCTGCAGCATATTGCACGTGGGGCATGAAGTGAGGTCAGTCACTACACCTGCAGCATATTGCACGTGGGGCATGAAGTGAGGTCAGTCACTACACTTGCGGCATACTGCACGTGGGGCATGAAGTGAGGTCAGTGACTACACCTGCAGCATATTGCACGTGGGGCATGAAGTGAGGTCAGTCACTACACCTGCAGCATATTGCACGTGGGGCATGAAGTGACACCCAAACTGAGCTCTGTTCAAAACGTATACTGAGAAGAAACTGTCAGGAATCTTCAATATTTGGGGATCATATGTTTATTGAATTATGTGCTTTTCAGTCTTCACTTACCCAACCCGTCCTAAACAATATATATATATTAGGGTACATTTGAATATGGAGAAGGTGTAGTTTGAAGGTTGTCCTGGTATAGCTGAAACAGTGCTGTCTCACTCACTTACTCGCTCGTGCGCGCACACGGTTACTGACAATATCATATTGTTCCGCTTTATGTTCTCAGGTTGTTTCTATGGTTATTCTAAAGTATCTCCTATTTTAACATTCATACTTTTTAAACGTAGGCTAATGCTACTTGTCGATGCAAACAGTGCAAGCTTGTGAAACAGGACAGAAGTACGCCTGCAGTGGGATATATTGTTTAGGCATGAATAGTGTACATTGTCCCAGAAGTTCAAGGAACCTAAGCCTTCGTCGTACTGAAACTTATATTTCTTATTAAACAATGTGCTCTGATTTCCATTACCTGTATTAAAACAATACAGATTGTGACGTCAGATACAAACAAATGCGCCTGTCAATGAACACTTCATTATAACGCAGTTGCCAACAGTGACGACTGAAGCTGCAGGTACCCTCAGTTACACAAATAACAGGGTCGTTTGAGGCAGGTTTCTGACAGACTGTCTAGCATGGTAAGCCGAGAGCTCCGTTCATCTGGTTGTACAAAGAATCGATCCCGCGTTATAACGAGAGTGCTAACGAACGACATCTCTGCGCAAGTGCAGTCAAGTCGCCGGTTGAGTGACGCCATTGTCCATACACTTTGTTTTAAAACGACTTGGTTGTTCTTTTCACACACCACACGTAATCTAGATTTAATGCTAAGTTCCTGTCACGTGACTTCACGGTCAAGAGATTGGCCACGCTTCGCCGACAAAAAGGCTCACAAGGCAGGTCGGAATTCATTCGCTGCCGGCGAGCTAGAGAAGGACAGCGGTAGGAAATTTAGCTCTCCTGGACAACCAGCCAACATCAAGGTAGGGAATTATAAAAGTCAGATATCTATAGTACATTAGTTGTTGAATGTGTGATGCTCATTGGCAAGGATTTGGAGCTCACTTACACAGTCGGCTTAATCGTGAAATATTCGCCGGTGGGTTTTCCGTTTTCCGTGTTCCGTGTTCCGCTCTAGCATGTTGTGGTATTTCCCAAACAATGAACCGACATCCCTCCATGTGGTGTGTCGAACATATCTTCACCGAGAGTACTGTATTCGGATCATTTGTAGCGATATGAGTGTATTTCTCTGCCATACCTCGAAAAACATTGATGTAAAGACTGCTTTCACAACAGTTTGATACACAGAGTAATCGTAACTTAAGCGAGTCAGTGTTGACTGCAGTTATCAAGATGTGTCGTTGTCTTCCTGTTTTACAACTCATACCAGCTTCATCGCGGGGTTTTATCAAGTACTGAAAGATAAACACCGGTTTCTTCAGAGTTTCGACGGCGGAAGATGAATTTGTCTCTTTCATCGATTTATTTGTTTGCTTTGGGAAATGTGCACATTCTTCCTGAGGGTCAACCGGACGGAGGCCAAGAATGTAGTGTTGTGGAATCCGAGTACAACATGGATCACAGTTACAACATGGAAGCTCTCTCTATATGAGGCATTCAAAGGTTTAGTCATCACCTACCCAACGCTGATGTCAGCAAAGTTTACGACTCGACAAAGGCATTGTTCGCTTGTATCATTTCTTTGACATTTCTTTCTCTCCAACTTGATATATGACGTTAAGATTCTAGTCAAATCATCAGTATTTCAGCCACATCGCCATCTTGATGGATGATTTATATACCGTTTAGAATGTGTTACAAATCTGTTTGAAATATGTTTTATGTACCATTCAACATTTGAGGGGGTTCGGTGATTGTATAAAACTGATATGCTGACTTAGTGATATTCTAAATAAGGTAAACCCACATTTTTTCAAATATTGAAAAGGAATTATTTATATATTATATCCCGTAGTTCCCCGAGCGCAACACATCAGTCAGGGTTTGAGTTCTGTGTTTCAGACTCATGGTTAGAGGGAAGTCATAAGTTCATTTTGCCAGCTTTTGGAGAGAACAGTGAAGCATGACTACTCGCTGTTTAAACTACAAAATAACAACTGCGATATTAAGGAAATATTCTAAAAACACCTACGCTGTCTCGTCTGTGTTTACCTTTGCTTATTTGTATTGCAAATAAAGTCAGGTCTAGCTCCCATGCCATCCTATTCGTCAACATTTCCAAAAATCTAATATATTCTTGAATAATGAAAAACATAGGTGGATTTAGGGGATGCGCAGGGGTGCGCACCCCTTTTGTCTTGAAAGTTTATTAAATGACCATTGAAACTCTCGTGAAAACGGGTGACAGTGAACTGTGCACCACAAATTCAAAATTCCCCTGAATCAACATTATTTCCATGTCGACCTGACTCTGCGTGGTTACGAATTAACACACAGCACACATATAATATACAGCTGTATATAGAGACACGCATAACGCCAGTCCGCTTGGTGAGCCAGCTGTATCGTATACTACCATACAGCATGGTGGCTCGTGTATCAGGCTGCGAAGCTCAACCGGCGTGATACTCCCAGATTACAGAATTCATGTTGTGAATATTACATTGTCCAACTCACACCACTCTCATGTGACAGTTATAATGGCGTCTAACCTGGTTTACTTCTTATAAGACTTAAATTTAGACTTAAACGTCACCAACGGCTTTACGAAATACAATATACATGTACAACCTACTTGATATAATTAATACAAGTTATCAAGATGGTAGTATCTAATTTCACACAGATTTACATGTTACCTTAGACATTACCTAGCAGCAGCTGTTTCAGGTTTTTGGATGTTGACTACGCGTGTAAATTATTAGAACTTTGAAGTATGAGCTTATTAGCTATTATGGGGGGGAGGGGGGGGACTTCTCCATTTAAATAATCATGACCCCACCCCCACCCCCTAGCCATAGATTATGTACGGTCCCTAATGACAACTTGGACAGAATGTCTGAATGTAAAGCCAGTCTAATCATCTCCGAGCTCAACGCCTACAACTCAATGTTACAGTACGACTGTTGTTGATGAGCTTTAAACAGCGGGATTATGACGGCCCTTACGCTAATGTGTCCCTGTGGGACAGGCTCCGGATTATGTCGTTATACTAAACACGTGCTTGAGGTAGGCATGGTAACTTGCGGCTGAATTAGAAGGGTATTTTAAATATGTAGAAAGGTTGCTTACCAGGTTAAATGGGGGAATATTTCGCACACTCGAGTAAGACATGATATTTATTTTCTATTTCGTTGTCGCTTGTCCACGTATCCTTACTCGTCTTCGAACCTCTGGATGCGGCTTTTGTGATTAGATATCTTATGAAACAGATTAATTTAATTAAATTAAATTTTAATCAAGCTATATGCGATCCTGGGACACTGGTTTCATGTGGTCCCCGGAACCTCCACCCCATGAATCGGTTAACGCACAGAAAATAGGGGACTTGATCGGGTTGTCAGCAAGTCCAGGTTTTGTTTTATCCCTGTAGAGATTGGCCCGTATCTTTACAGACCACGTCATCTTGTAGCTTGAAAAAAAGTCGAAGGGAACAAATTGAGTATATAATTTACATATCCCATAACAATCCTTGTACCAAAGACGTGTAATCACATCTCGTCACATAACCATGTGTAGGCAGTAGAACGATCTATGAACTCAGCACACCATGTATCGTGATTTGCCCGGCATTTCTACACACCATGTTTGGAAACAGACAACCAGTCCTGTACTCCCGGGGGTGGCCTGAAGTAAAGTTCTTTGATTACGTACTTACTGGGGTCAATGGTGTAACCAAGTGGTTCGACACATCGTGACACGGGCGCCCGGGTTCGATTCCAAACATGGGTGCAGTATGTGAAGTCCATTTTTTGTGTCTCCTGCCGTGATATTGCTGGAATATTGCTAAAAGCGGCGTAAAACTAAACTCACTCACTCACAACACTGAGTTTGCTGATAGTAACGATCAACGTGCCGCATGTCAAATGACATATTCACCGCCGAGGGCACACATACAGACCACCTTCTGGCGCATCGATCGATCGTGTAGTTGTATACCTAATCTACTCTCTTTATGTAGCGGTCATTGTTCGTGTTACTCTCTTGTAAGCCTGTGTAAGATTTCGCAATCGATGTAATGCCTTCAGCAATATGTTTCCTCATCATGCAGAGTTATTGTCCCACGCTGAGTACCCAGAGCAGTTGTAATTGTCTCGTAAAAGAGAGGGACGGAGCAGCTGGATATACCGGGAGATTCAAAAGAAGTTATCGTTACTTGGCCACACCAATGTGTGAAGATGACACCACCGGAAGTGTTCGTTAAATAGCCGATTGTGGTGGCGAGGCTGTCTCACACCCAAGTGCTACCCGCATTCAGTGTGATTGTTTACGTTGTATTTCGTACCTTGTGTCAAATGAGACACTGATACCATGAAATAGAGATGGCCATTTTTGGTATAATTGTTGAATGTATTGAAGCTTGAGTAGAAAGTTTTATTGGGTGGTATAAACCGAATAGCCAAACCGCCCCCATTCTCTTCTCACAGAGGTTACTCCTGTCATATCTTCCTACATAACCTCTGTTCTAATACGGCCATATTTCCCGGTCCTCGTAAAATCCCCTAGCGGCAAAAGATCGCAACACGAATTATCTCCCTTCTTTCTATCCAATCAGAACACGTGTTACATCGACTTAGATTCAATTTGACCAACACAAGCAAATGCGGGGCCACAAATATCCCCCATCTGCCGGGGAATTGTGTTGATGTTACACACAAGACGTTTAATGGCTAGCTTGTCCGTTGTCAACGAGGGCGATGGAGACGCCATTGATACGCCATTACATGACTGAGTTCTGTCTAGAAGAAACGTTTGCGCATCGCGCTCGGGAAGAGGTTCTAGTTTTCCCGAAGCATACGGAAATTACCGAGGCCTTGCGAATGATCACTTTTGAAACAACGTCGCTGATTGCACAACTAAATCGGCTTGTCTCCAATCACGAGCCTTGAACGCTGACACCAAGAAAGGGTCGTATTAGAACAGAGGTTATGTAGGAAGATATGACAGGAGTAACCTCTGTGGGAAGAGAATGAACCGCCCCTAGATATAAGAAATTCACCCTTCATCAAGGTTGGGGAAGCAGTTTCCACTATTCTATCTATTCACGCATTGTGTTTTTTATTGTAATTGATTAATCTTCTCGTTACTAATGAAAATTAAAAAGTAATTTGCAGTTATTTGCAATAAATATGTCAATACTATAACCTACATTGGTAATATTTCAACCATATCGTGACGAGAAGATATTAGACACTGACGAGGGATGTATTTATATTATGCAATATCACAGCGAATTCAGTAAGTAAATATTTTGTCAACGTGTCACGCGGTAAATAAACACATAATATATACAGGTACGGTTAGGTGAGGTGAAATTGGGTTTAAAGTCGTGCTTGAGAATATTTCGCTCACATAATTTATACAGGTGACGTGAGGTGAAATTGGGTTTAACGTCGTGCTTGAGAATATTTCGCTCATATGACGACGTGCATGCGTGTGTATGTGTATGTGCGGCTGCTTGTACTAACCCAGACTGAAGCTGGTTTTATAGTGCTAGCCCACTGAGATACCATGCCGCAGTGAAGCATGAATACCCCACTCAGACACAGTATACTGACTCCGAGCCGACCAGCCCTTGTTGTACCCATTAATGTTTGGGGGTGGTTTACTAGTTTATGTTAATAAAAGCCTGACTTTTAAGAGAATTCCAGAACTTGAAAATGTCTACGATGAAACAATTTGGATTAAGATATATTTACCTCAAAATTCGCTGTTATTATGTACTGTATACCGACCAGAGTATAATTCTTTGGACTTTTGGGCTCGCTTAGATAATAGCGTTGAAAGTGCTCTTGATATG